AATCAAAAGGGCCATTGTTACTCACTCATTGCTGTTCGGGAGAAGAGTCAGATGCGCACGGCGCGGGAAAGCTAGCAGTATATGACTTGTCGAAGCCAAGCTCGCTGGTCTGGTAGGTAGCTGCCGAATGCACACCCTGCGATTGGCGGAATGGAGACTAAAAGAATTGGCAAATGCTTTGAGGTTGTGTCTTCGCAGCGAAGGCCCGGCGAAAGTGGTTAGTTATCGAGAGGGGGAGGAGGGCAGTGCTGGCTTGCTGTTTTCCTGGCCGGTTGAGATGACGAGGTGGTTGGTGAGGTAGGCTGTGTAGACGCCAAGCGGGTACCAGCGCATGGTTTAGCTCGGGAGCTGCCAGGTTGCCCAGGGGAAGTGGAGCATATCGTCACATATTTCCCTCACTAATCGCCACGCTGTCTCAGAAGCTGCAGAGACTCGAATCGCGATACTCATACCACGTTATCACCAGCCTCATGAGTTTTGAACATGTGTGCCTCGGTGCGCGCTTCAGCCAGAGCTGATGATGTCATCACCCCGTCGCGCTTGCCCGCCAAGTCCAATCTGAGTCTGGAGTGGCCCATGCACGTCAAAACAACCGCTTGCAGATCATCAAACTGGCCCACCGCCGACCGTCTAATCAAAAAAAGTTCGTTTTGAGCGCTTCACTCCGGTACGTCGCGGACTGCCAAGTGCGCGGACGAGATTCACTGATAACAACACTGCCCGCCGTGTTCGTCGCTCAATGTGAACAGCCACACCGCTTCTACGAGGTAAGCCCGAGTCTTACAGTTGACGATGTACAGCGTGGCAAGGGATACTTGGCGCGCCATATTCTCTCTACGAGGATACACCACGGAGGCACATGGCCCGAACTCCGCCTTCGTGGCTGACTGACATGGTGACCACCTCTCGTGGCGGAGTTGTGAGAAGAGTTCTTGGAGCGTTGGCAGGCGGACTTCCGAGTTCTACGTGAAAAGAACTTAAGGTCTTCGTCCATCCCTCGCTACTGAGCTTGTGGCGCACTACGTATTGCTTTGCGCGATGATGCATTCATCAATATGCAGCGTACACAGTTCATGCGACTTTGCCTTCACATCAGCGCTATCCTGCTTGCTCATGCTGTACCAAACAGAATGTATATCAAGCCGCTCCTTTTCCAGCTTGGAAGCACAACCAAAGCAAGAGTATATTGGCAGCATAGAGCTCGCGTGGCTTTAATGCCTCAAGATTACACCTGACCAGAATTACGTGAGTCACTAAAACCCCTTCCGTTTCCTCCATGCTCGGAACCGTAGCATCCGCAATACCGGAAGTGGGCCGTGCATAATCAATTCTTCATACCATATTGGTCCCGTGTTCTCGCCTGACTTTTTTTTGGATAGCATGCGGACTCTGTACGACTGGAATGCAGCGAAAGCCGCCCACAGCATTACAGAAGATGCACACATCGCAACAGCCGTGATCACAAACGCTCTGATAGAATGACCAGTACTGTTAATCTGCTGCACATTCTACGATGACTATCAGTGATAACACCCACGAGCAGGAACCAAGGTGCTTACCATTCCGTATACTGAGGATGCAAGGGAGACTGGTAAGAAGATAAATGCCAAAGCCGTCACTTGAAACTGTTAGCGTTTGCATTGGACTGTGCATGCATGTCGCCGTACGTAGCATGACTCTTTTGCTCTCACGAATACTCATTTCTGCCATATGAATACTCTTGCTTGTACCTTCCACCGCTAGGTGATCTCTGAGCTGTGACTCAGATTGTTCGAGATCTTGCAGTCGAAACGTCAAGCATTCCATGGTGTCTTTGAAAGCTGCTTGGATATCTTGGTTGCTGTAGTCGAAGTATTTTCGGAAGAAGCGTGTTATCCACCGCAGTGTAGTTCGTTGCGCGTCAACCTCCATCCTCAAATGAGTCCACGTTGTACTTGGATCAGCATACAAGGGCGCAAATCGTGCGGCGCCAAATCGATCTTTCCCTTGGATTTGTCCGTAATATTCCAATTGCACCCGAGACTGCAAGCCACCTCTGTGGATATCAAGTACATGCAAAGGCGCTGTAGATGCATGTAACTCGATGAGTGCAGCTAAGCAAACGTAAAGGAAGTTGCCCTTGCCAAAGAAGTCATTAGAGCCAATCCCAGATGTGATGAACCGCTGAACAAGCCACGTATTCTCATGTGTAGAGTCTGGGCGATTGGCAGCACTATCGATTGCTTCCGGGATATTTGATGGTCCTTTGGATGGATACATTACAGAGCTGGTGGAGATTCTGGGGTCTGAATTTGGGTCCCCAAGAAGAGAACCGTGCCCGATGAACATGATTGCTGCAGTACTTGTCAGCTAATATGACCGCCCGAGAATGTAGAATTGCGAATACCAGTTTTAGAAGAAGCTTCTGCGGGCCCAGCCTCGAGAATGCACAAAGCATTCTGTCCTACACGTAAAGCCGGAAAGCTCTTATGCCAAGGTCGAGGCAACGCACCGTGTCTTCCATAGTATGGATATTGTACACACATCTGCACGTATTCGAACCACTCAGGGCCCAGATCTAGACCAAGGCCGAGAATTTCTTCCGTTTCAGAGGCAAAGGGCATGTATCCAGCAGTCACTATGACTACTCTGTAGGCCACATCCTTATCCCGTGTTTGTAGTAGTTTTTGAAGGCCGAGGGGGGAAACAACTGTTGTTTGAGGTTTGACACCGCGTCCGTCTAAGGCGGGGAGATTTTCGGGAGCCTCTAGGCTATCCTCCTTGGACGGTTCACAGTAGTTCCATTCCATACAACGACCGTCTCCATCGAAGGTCGCTAACCACAACTCCTCCTTCCTAAGAGTTTTATTAGACTGGACAGGCCATCTCTTCAATTTTGCCACATATTCTGCGTATGACCCAAACCCGGTGTTAGCATTGGTAGTTGCGGGAGAATATGACTGAGTCGGAAGAGAATCTCCGGTGTTGTCCCCGGTTGTCATCGTGCAATGTGTTCTTCCTCTCGGCTCAAAGGTTAGATGATTCCATCCGTTGGCAGATGGTATGTTCGTAATTTCTAGAAGAAGTGTTCCATGTAAAAGTCTGGAATTGTGCGAGATTGCAGCGCGATTTTATCTTTTATCAAGTGCCCATAGGGTCGCTATCTGCAATGTGTCTGCTGAGCTGACATGCATATGCGCTTCTTTATCAGTTCTCGTCCTACCAGCTGAAGCGAGCTGAAGACCTCGCGTGTCACATCGCGATGTCGATTGGTCGGCTCAACATCCTGTGTCACGTTCTGGCCGATCGAGACCACAAATGGACAACAAGATGCAGTATCGAGCATGCGTAGACCTTGACCGGTCTCGAAAAGGAATTGCATCGGCTTCATGGTCTTCTATGTGTTGTGATACGCTTAGAAGGCTCAGGAATCCGCTGTGCCGTGTCGTGATTGTAGTCCGCAATGCGCCAATGCCCGTACCGTCCGAACGAGGCGTCGGAGGCATGACGGTCGATATACAGGGTCAGAAATTATCATACCGATACCTTTAGTGTGTGATGCGAATACGCGACAATTGCAAGCTAAGTTGGTGTGAACTTTTGTGTGATTTGGTTCGCGAAACGCAAATGAGTGTGACATCTGCCTTGCTTACCAGCGTCTTTGATAGCAGCGCTTTTGGTGTTCGACGAGTGCTTCGCATTTTCCGAATGCTGGTACTAAAGGGATAGTAGACCGTGAGTGATTTTGTGCGGCTGGAGATCTTTCGTAAGTTGCTGCGGCGTAGTGTCTGACGTAGGCCCACAGGTGCGCCGCAACTACACGGTTCGAGTGATCAACGCTACATGTGGCTGTCGCAACGATACAAATACACGTGTACGGTACAATAGGAGCGCAAAGGACGTGTTCGGTAGTCGCGACTGCCCTCAAGCGTGCCGGGTGATGCCGGCGCTTGCCCATGACGTCATCGGCAAACCTCAACCCAGCGTAGCTTCCTGTCTCTTCAACTACACTCAGTTGCCATCCTGGTGCAACGTCCGCCTACTACGCTCATGAGTGAATCTTCACGGGAGAAGCCCATAACCCTTCGTAGTTCAAGCATGCCTCAGGACCCCGCACAGCTGAAGCTGCCCGATCGCGTCCGCTCCCCATTCGAAGTTTGGGTGGACACATAAACCATGTCTTCACAGATGCTATCACGAGCGAACAGCCAACTTTGTAAAGAGCATGGATATAATCGGAAATGACAGTGGAACTTTGCCGGTACTTTGCTGCCTACCGCGAGGTAGACACCACCAATATTCGGATCGATTACATGTTTCCCATACACCTGACTTTGAAAGAAGGCCAGATTTCACGTTCACGCTAAACATGTCGCAATCATGGAATTTCAGGCTTCCATATAATCGATGGCGTCTTCAGGGAATGGCTACCGCGAGCATGACCTATGCGCTGTATGCGTCTACCGTTGGTTCCAAGGAGTCCATGGGAGAGTAGCTCTTCACAAACAGCGTCAGCAAGCCGACAGGTCTGAAGTGTCTACAGCAAACAGCAGCGCAACTGTCCTGGTGAAGTAAAGACTGTATAATAGCAAGCATGTGCTGCACAGTCCATATTCCTACTCTAGAGACCGCGTTCTGCGACTGACATAGGCTGCGCGCCAGTATAGGCGCCCTTTGCAGCCGTGATTGTATGGTCACGCGACCCATAACCCTTTTCGTGCACTCTTGGAAGGTTCTGCTCAGAATCCACTACTTCAACCTACGTCACAAAGCACGAGCCCCTTTCAAGTGTACACTTCACTACGATACGCTAACCGAGAACCGCGAAAGTTCCCAGCGACGCCTAGATCACGCGCTTGAAACTTTGATATATACAAACAACAGCTTCTACCGTCTCACCACTCGCGCGAGTCGTCAAAACATCCACCACTCTCTGTAACCCGACAAAGCTGCCGACATGGCTCACCTCGGACTACGCGCGAGTTGCCTTTCTCTTCCCGCCGCGCCGTACTTCTTTAGCAATGCGTACACTATCTTCGAGCATCCCAGCGGTCCATTTGGCGCGCGTGGTAGTCGCACTGGCGCTCTACCCCCTGCGGAGACTTATCTTCGCCAGACAGTCACCCGCTCAACCCGCGCCCCTGGACTGTCTTCTTACGCCAAGTTTCGGCGCCTAGGTTCAGTCTGGTCAGTTCCGAGCAAGACGACAGTGAGCGCTGCAACAGTCGCCTTGAAGTTGGAGCAGGAGCAGACGAAAGGTACGCCGATCTTCAGATCTAGTTAATAGGCCAAGACACTGACAGCGCCAGCACTGGACGATATTCTCAGCGCAACAAGCTTTCTGCGTTCGACTCCCCTCGCATCCACCACCCTTGTGGCCCCCACCCTTGTGGCCCAGGTTGATCGAGAAGCATGGGATCACATCTTGGTGAACCTAATTCGCATACCCCACGATAGCCTCTCCGCGACCCTTCGTGCAGTAGCGTCCGAGATCGAGCTAGCACTGGGGATGGGGGCTCTACATGTCCCGGAGCTACCCACACACTCGTCTCCTGTCAAGCTTCACACAGCTGACCAGATGAGCCGCCATAATAAGTTCAACCTCTTCTTGGATGACTTCCCCGCCGGCCGTGTCGCGGAAAAGGACTATAGCCTTCTCGCGGCCAAGCTCCTCGAGAACCCCGACTTCCCGGTCGTCCCGCCATGGCACGAAGAGTTCTATCTTCTGAGGCCTTGGTTCAACGTCGCGCTCGAACTTTCGGAAGACTACCCCTACAGCGATATCTTTGCGCATGAGATACTCCTGAGGAAAGTCTTCCCTGTTGTCAACAAGCACAAAGGAGCACCACCCGCGAAGAGGCTTCGCGCTGCTATTCACGTCGCGAGCCGCGACGCGCCCCCAGAGGCCGAGAAGATGATGCAAGCTGAATTAAACGCAGCTGCGCTTCTGGAACCTGGTCGCCTGCTGCAGGTCAAGATCGAAGATCTAGTTCCTGACGTCGCGAAGACCGAGGAAGAACACAAGGCCTTGCGCAAGATCTCTCTGAAGGAATTGAATATCCCCCGAATCCTGGAATCTGACGACCGCGGCGTCATCCTTCTTCTACAGGCCAAGATGCGCGCCATCTTGCGAAACAGCAAGCATGTTGCCGATGTGGATGATACCTGCATCTGCGACATCATCAGCGAATACAGTGATGACGAAGGAGAGCATCACTTCAATGACGCTGCCGCGCTGAAGGACATCTTTCCCCAGCGTAAGCGAGACATCGTCCTTGGTTGGGCCTCATCCATTGAGACTTCAACTATCCACGACATTACGCTTTCCAGCGCTGATCAGACGTACTGCGAGCCACTGGAGCCTATCGGCGATGCGGACGACATGACTGAAGTAGAGGGCGAGCTCCAAAAAATGAGCGAAATAACATGGGAGCTCGAAGGTTGCTCTCTCATCTTCCCCCGCGGTCACGACGGTGAGATCTTGCTTGGATATGGCTGCCAAGCAGACCAAGTGGTCTCCGAAGGCCACTTCACCAACATGATCAGTGCTGCCTCACCGTCAGAGTCAAGCTCGGATGCAAGCTCATACGAGAGCGAGGACGAGAAGGCTGCCAACCGTCGCAACTCCGACACCTCGTTGGAGAGCAATACTGCTCGGTACGACTACCAAAAGAAGCGTGTCGTGATGGCCTCGGTGAAGCATCTCAACAAGCGCCGGATCACAAATCTCCATATGGCGTACGGCATTCCGCATGGTGCGCAAGATCCAGACCAGCTGGGACATAGCATGCCTCTTGGTTTTGCGACATGCGATGAAGTCCCGGGCCTACTGGACCAGTTCAACGCGGACTACGAGGCGAAACGTCGCGAGCGTGAACATCTTGGCGAGTGAAGAGAGATTTCCAGATGGATACCATCTCACATCGGTCACTCCGGAAGTCCTCCAAGCTTTTGGGACTCTTGCCGTCTCGGAGACGAGGCCGCTGCTCAAACTTGGTCGTGGTATGGCCAGGAGCAGGTTTGCGGATCTCGCTTCATTTCTGTTATGCTGTTGTGCTGTTCTTGTCTTGTTCTTGTCTTGTTCTCGTTGCACTCTCGTTTTTCATCACGCATAGCGTGCGGCGTTTCTCTCCAGCCTTGATACCCATTTGTTTCCTTTCTTTCGGCGTCTGATATCGACTGCTCTGGAATTTGAAAGTCTGGAACCTCTCATAATTGAATCAAACTTTCTACTTACTTTTCTGCAGTCTCTTCGTGACTATACCACCTGGGCACGCGATTACACTGCTCGTCACGTGTCCTTTGTAAGCTTGCGCTCCGGTTGGTGGCCCACTCTTTTCGGCTACCTTGGTTTTCAACTCTGTCCCAGGGGTAGCTTACAAGGCATCCTCACAATGCCAGACTTGCTTACTGTGGCAGTATGAGTGACTGCCCTGCATTGGCCAATATATCGCAGGTCGACCATAGTTGCGTTGATGCAGCTTTCGTCTTCGCATATAATAACTCCCGCATTTCACAGTTGAAGTGGTTGTTTGTTCACTTCCCCTCCAAGATTTCAGACTATCTTCACCCAAGTGCATTCACCAAACCAGACACTTTCTCAACCACGCGCATACCAACATCACGCGCCTACACTTTCGAAAGCAGAACACGCATCCACCAACATCATGTCCTCTCAACTTGAAGCTTCCAAGAGTAACCAGGCCGCTCCCACCAACAAGCCTGTCATGCAAGAGCATAAGGTCGCTGTTGTGGAGCAAATCCACCCAGATAAGCCAGACCACCAAGACTGCCCAGAATTCCAGGCAGCCCGTAAGCACGAAGCCTTCTTACAACATATTCACGCCTCGCCAGCATGGATGGCTGAAATGTATTTCAGCAAGATGTCTGATCAAACACGGCAAGATTTCGACGAAACTACCGACAAGACTAAACGATACTGGGCGCAACATCCCGACCTTTTCTTGCTCCATTTTGGTAACTCTGGATCAAGCTCTGAGGCATCCAGTGAGAATCAGTCAACGCTGCCGACGCAGGTTTCGTCTGATCTTGCTGAAGATGATGGGCACGGTGGTTACAAGACATTCATCTACGCACCAACGCCGCGCCGCGAACAGCGGATCGCCGCCGACTTCGAGGACATGGTCGAACGGGCTGACTACGACCCAATTTCTTCTGCTGCCCACGAAGCTGACCACGGTGCGTCCGACAGGTCGTTGGGGCAGCCTGGCAACTACCATGCGTACCAGAGCCAGTGGCAACAACGTCTATACGCACTGTGGGGACGACATCAGAACTACACGCGGCCGAGCTTCGTTCATTGGTATCCCGAGGAGTTTACGCAGCGGTGGCAGGGTCGACAACTACCTCCGTATCAGCAAGGTCGGCCTCAACCACCACCAGGGTACTCGCAATACCATGCTGCCCAGTCGATGTATATGCCTGGGTATCATGCTCAGTACCAGCAGCAGTATGTGCCATGGCAACCAGGATTTGGTTACTACCGTCAGTCTCAATGGCCACATCATGGGGGACATCAACGCCCGCAATTCAACAGTTATGCGGATGAGATGACATGGAGGGGCTTCGCACGCTGAATGGATAAGGTTCGATTCGTAGCCTACTCCTTAACGCCGACACAGCACATTCTACAATCCCAACGCCTCACTAATACCTCCAGTGAGGTTACCCAAGATATTCGACCCACCAACAATAGCAAAGAATACATCTTTGTACGAATCCCTAGCAGCAACCGTTAGCACATATCTCCCACAAAACCAGACGGTCAGGAAGAACACTTACGCCACAATCTTAACCCCCTCCAGCAACGGCTCCGGCGAACTCGACTGCAACTGCACAATCATCAACCCCAAACTGGGCAATGTCGTCGGCAGCACACTCGGCCTCCACCCCAGCTCAAACGGCAACTTCTCCATCTCAAACAAACTCCTCACATACTCTAGCTTGGCTTTTCCCGTAACCGGGTCTCCCATTGTGGAAAGATACAAAGCATTCTCTCCATAACTCAACACCGCCTCTCTCGCTCCATACACAAACTCCGGATTCCTCTTTTGACTATCCGTCGTGCGCGCGTACTTCGCCTTACTCGCCGTCGGGATATCCGTACGCTCCTTCCCATTGAAGAGGGATATGTATTGCTGCCACGTGGGGTTGTGGAAGGGCTGCGGGTTAGCGAAGTAGGCATCCTGGCGCGACATGCTGGCGTCGTGCTCGATGGGGAAGTTGTGCATAGACAGGTCGTCGAGGTCGAAGGAGCCGCCTAGCGGGTTTGGAGAGGAGAGTAGACCCGCGGCTCCTATGGCGGTGGTGAAGTCTGCGCCCATGTTTAGGCCGGCGGCGAGGCCGGCGATTAGGTGTGGGATGGTCATGTTGCGCCCGTTGCGGTGGATGAAGTCGTGGTTTGCTAGGGCGTTCAGACCGGGGCAGGGGGAGCGTACATCACCGCTGGAAGCGGGATGCCAGTTTGTCCATCGGGGGTCGCTTGCGGGTGCTGGGGCGAGCGAAGTGAGTAGATTCGCTATGTCGGTGGGGAGGTCCAAGAGGCCTTTTGCTGATACTACGCCTGCTCCGACGAGCACTGTGGTGACGAGTGTAGAGCGCATGTTTCTGATCAATTCAAAAGGGTTGTATGTTTCTCTGTAATCCCAAAAAGGAAGGATGTTGAAGTATAGTCAATGAAGCGATAGTAAACACAAGAACGTTCCACAACAGACGCCCATCCCGTCCTTAAGCTTTCCCACATCCACTACTCAGGCAAATCCCCCATGATCCCCTCGTCCAATAACCAGTCCCCTAAACCCGCTGACCCCTCATCCTCCTCTTAGAGCCCTGGATCGTGCCTCGGATCCTGTGCATAGCGTCATGTAGCTCGCATAGTCCCGCGTAGTTCCTGCATAGCTAGTTGTAGCCCACGCAGTCACCCGTAGTCAATCACTACTACTACAGGTCAAATCGACTGACATCGCTGCGGACCTGGATGCCGTGGCTGGCGACTCATGCTGATCGGCAGCTAGGCAAGATCGAAGTGCGCCAGATCGACAGACTCCAGACCCACGACGGGGAGATCGGTGATGCGAGGGTAATTGGAATGCACGGAGAGGGGAAAGTCGGCACGATGGGGATCAAGATATGGGGTCGATTGGGTTTGAGTCTTGATTCGTGTTGCGGTTTTGTTGTTCTTGCGGTGAGGTGCAAAGATGGTTGGGTGGTGACGTCATGGTCGCGGGAAGTTTGGGGGCCGAGGATATATTGGATGTCTTGCATTCGCTTTACCTTGCCATTTATCCCTGCCTCGCTGTACATCGATTTTCCGATATAGCAACAATACGATGAGTGTGATGACTCAATGATCTCGAGATCGATATGTAGCGGCGAGGTCATCACGATGTCGACATGGAGATGATGCATGATTTTTGAGTATCTTCATTCTTGTCTACATAATGGTTGTTTACAATTCTCCGTGACCGCGTCCGACCAGCATTCTTGCGTTCTGTGCTGTTACTCCCATCAATCTGGACCCCTGTTATGGGCGTGACACGGTCGACAGAGCTTACCTAGGTATGATGTCTAGGTACCGTTGCGCACTCTGGGCTTCGATTCTGACATCAACTTGTATGCACGCTCATGCAAACTCATGTACGCAACGTACCACCGCAGCCAGTGCGACTATCCTATTCTCATCGCGTTGATGCAGTGCATGCAGAAACGTCCTTGAATGAATGAGTAATACCATCTCGTGCAACGGAGAAACTTGACAAACCTGCAGCCTACACTGAGATAGTAAGAGCCAAATAAGAACACGCAGAGTTTATGTAGGCGTCAAAGTGATCCCAAAACAACACCACCCATCCAATCCCCCACCACCTCATCAGAAAACCTCTCAAACTCGTCCCAAGACTTAACCTCCAACTCTTCCTCAACTCCCCCACCCCGTAACCGCCAACACCCCACTTCACATGTACAAGCCGGCGGATAATGATTCTGCGGCCTCCACGCCTCATCTTGCTCGTCATCGCCCTCCTCGTCTATACCAATAGTTTCCAAATCAATAGGATCAGGCTCATACACAGCGAAAATACGGTAGTACAGTCCAGGATACTCCTCGAGGTACATAGCATGCCGCTTGAAGATGTCATACCACTTCTCCCTCACCCACGTCTGGATATCACCAGTCAGGGTAATCTTCTTAATATGTTGAAGATGCCCGTTGTACCAAGCATACTCGAGGATCCAGTCGATAACCAAGCCACTATCGCAGACGTGCGGGCGTAGTCTTGCTTCAGCGTAGTTCCAAGAGGGATTTGTCTCGCACCAAGCAGCTTCTTGGACGTCGTACCAGGGGTTTGCCTGCTTGTATGCGTCGCCGAAATGGATCTCAAGTTCCTGCGTGTGCAAGAGAAAATGGCCGGCGCCATGGCAGAATTCGTCGCGGTATAAGTTATCGCCGGCAACTGCACCGTCGCGGTAGTGGAAGGGTGGTACCGCGACGTCGAACATGGCGAAGTATTGTTCAGCCGTGAAGTCGAGTTTGATCTTCTCTAGTCCGTGGAGCGATGAGAGATGCTTCATACGAGCGTATTGCGCACCGTGATCGTTTATTACCGGAAACTTTGTCGACAAGGAGAGTTTCGGGTCCTGGCAAATGGCATCCCATGACTGGTTGGGTAGATAGTACCAGCCTATGCGGTCTTTCATCTTCAAACTCATCAGGAGATGGCTCATGTAGAATGTTGTTGGGTCGGAGAACTCTTTGGCGTCGGTCAGCCAGGAGCGGATCCGAGACCGGAAGTATTCTTGGAAGATGAATGATGGGGCATTGCTGGTCTTGGAGATGGTGGCGAAGGGATCGATGTTTTCAGGATTCGTGTAGGACAGTGTGTAATGAGGATGGGCGGAGCCGTCAATTCCGATGCGTTGTTGACCGAGCCATTGCTGTAGTACGATGAGGAATAGTTCTGGGGGTAGATTTTGTGCAGCGATTTGGAATGTCATTTCATTGTCGATTCTTGAAATTGGTGCCATGACTATGGATACTGCCTTGAAAAACAGGCGTCAAGACATGGGTAGAGAGCCTATATATGTTACAAAGCGCATGCTTAAGCGCATCGTTGGTATGATTTTCGTCACTGCGCGTGGTTTACAGTCCGGTTCGTGAATCGGTACCACAGTTCGTACTCGACACCTGACATCGTGCGGAAACGCGGAGACACTAAGGTGAATTTCTGGTACTGCTGCGTTGTAAACGAATAAGCGACATTGTTGTTAGCATGAGTGTGAACATGTGCTGAGTATTGATATTGATGGAGACTGGCAGAGGGACCGGCTTTGTCAGGCTCGCACCGACTCAAGATCTGACCCACGGTTGGGAAGCGTAGCACGACAGATCCTGCGCCACTGAGAATCATCTTGACAGTGTACGATATGAATTGATTGATCGGACAGAGAGCAGTAATTCGGTGACATTGAATATCGCATATGCTTGCTGATGTTTGCCAGATATTGAAACAGGTAGTGGTACAGTCGCTATTGAACGTGGTCATGATCGTCGTTTGGCTGGCGCTGGACTCCAGCCCTGTGGTTGCCACTCCTGACTCTGAGCCGCCTGCTTCCATGGCGAGTCTTTGGGCTCCTTCTTCATCCTCTTCCTAGGTGTGAAGGCAGGCGCGTCGTCTTCGGCAGGCGGTGCTGGCGGGTCGCGTGGCATCTGCTGAGGCTCTGCGGGTTGTTCCGATTCTACTGGCGCTGGTCTCGCGGCTTCCTGATCGAGTGTCCGCGGTGGCTCTATGCTGTCCCGTATCTCTTGGTCGGCATTCATTTGCGTGACGCCGCTGTCTGGGTCTCGCGACTGCAGCATTTGCACGGGCTGTTGCTTATCCGGCGCATCGAGCGCTGACGGCTTCTCAGCCCATCGTGCATCTGCTTGCGCTGCCAGCTGCTTCATCCGCTCCTGCCTCATCATGTCCTGGTGTTGTTCGGCGACGGTGGGGGGTTCGTAGCGCGTGTGTCTCAGCCATTGCATCCATGACGCTGCCACAGTCAGCCTCGGTCAAACACTGGATATGGAAGGAACGAACGTGATATTTGCACGTCGCCATAGTGAGTGCTGCGACTGTATTTTGCGATCCGTCGGTTGCGCAGGGCGTGCAGAGCGTCTTTGAATTCCCAAAAGGTGTTGCCCTGGAGATCAAAGCCTGCGAGGTGTTATTACTTGGAAGCAAGGATACGCCAGAGACCTATGTCGAGGTCTGCACTCACCCACAAGCCACTTCTTGCGCCAGGGGAAGCGCTTCATCTTCCATTGGTACCATGCTTTGCGAATTGCACCCGGTGCGCCCGCCATGCTGAGTCTCGTTGGGCCGCGAACAAATTCCAGCGGGCGAATATCTGGAGGCGACTTTGACGCGCAGGCCGGTGACGTTGGGGCGAGTGGCTGGTGCGTTCACGTTAGCACATGTGCAAGCATTCCCCCCACCACCAAGTTTCTCCACACAACAACACATGCCATCATTGCATACCCCGACGCCACAACAACACACGTAGCAGTTGAGGTCCTTACATAGAGACATATACATTATCATATCTCACTACTACAACTCGTGCACCCTCCCCGTCACCGCCCACACGACCTTCGTGCCCAACCGCAACAAGCCTGATTTGCGCCCAAACCAACCACCATGGCGTCTGTAACGTCGCTGGACCAGGACATGCGGAGGCTGCGGATGGACAGATACACCCCCCAAGCAGCCAACGAAGTCCGCAGCTGGATAGAAGACACACTCGGAGAGCGCCTGCCCGCGGGAGATCTGCTGGATGCGCTCAAGGACGGGACCGTATTATGCAGGTACAGTGATATCCGTAGAGTTACCGGGTAGTCGGGCCAGTATAGCTAACCTTTCCAGACTCATCAACCTCGCCATACCCACGCCGGTCAGGTTCAAGAAGTCCAACATGCCCTTCATACAGATGGAGAACATCTCGCACTTCCTGCGAGCCTGTGAACAGCCACCGCTGAATATGCCCGCCCATGACCGCTTCCTCACCGTCGACCTCTACGAATCGAAGGATCCAGCTCAGGTTCTGCAGTGTCTCGGTGCCTTCAGCCGTGTCGCCAACGCGAAGAACCCGTCCAACTTCCCCAACACCATTGGCCCAAAGCGCGGTGGAGCTGGCGCATTGAGCCCGACAGCAACTGGCGGCATGCCGAGTCCTGCACTGCCGTCTCCCGGCTTCCCACGCAGCAGGGGACCTAGCACCGCCAGCAACACCAGCGGCTCGAGCACATTCAACCCCCTTGCGCGACCTCCTGCCGACCGAACAGCATCGACGCTCAGTGCCGCACGCACTGGAGGCTCAGACACATCATACACATCCAACGGTCTCCCCAAGTCACCTCCAGGCGGAGTCAGTAGCTGGAGCAAGAAGGTCGACGAAGGTAGCACGGCACCGGCATGGAACATTCATCAGTACGGATACATGGGTGGTGCGAGTCAAGGCAACCAAGGCATCTCATTTGGTGGCCGGCGGCAGATCACGAGCGCAGGTCCGCACGTGCCAAACCTGGCGGAGAAGGAGCGACTGCGACGCGAGAGGGCAGCCGAAGAAGAGCGACTACGTTTGCAAGCTGAGGAGGCCGAAAACATACGTCGCGTCGAACGCGAAGCCGAAGAAGAGCGCATACGCGTAGAGGAGGAGCAGAAGTGGGAAGAGGAGACACGCAAACAGCAAGAAGCCAAGCAGGCGCGACTGGATCAACAGAAGCGCGAGTGGGAAGAGCAAGAGCGCCAGTGGAAGTTGGAGGAAGAGCAACGCCAACGTGAAGAGCGCGAGGCACAGGATAGAATCGACGCCGAGACGAGACGAAAGCGCGCTGGAAGTGATGCCAGGCTGAAGGGGCAGTACCTGAGCGAATACCAGGCTGAAAAGGTTAGGTCACCGCGTAGCCGACGAGGAAGCAGCGAAGAGCCCAACGCTGAGCGCGATCGCATACGAGAGCTAGAGCGCCAGCTCGAAGAGGCCAAGGAACGCGAGCGCCAGTACCAGGCAGAGCGAGAAGGACGCCTATCAGACAAGAAGGTGCGGTCTCGATCCAAGAGCCGTACACGGGAGCGATCCAAGAGTCGAGCCCGACCAGCGCCTCCACCCCGCGCTCCTTCGCCACAAGACAGCAACGTCTCATGGGCACAAGCAGACGATCGCGAGTACCTCCGCAAGCAATGGGACCAGACACAGAGGCAGCCAGCACGACCACTCCCTGAGCCCGCAGCGCCATCTCTGCCTACACGTCCTCTACCCGAGCCAACCACGCGACCCCTCCCCGATCCAGCCGCATACACAAAGCAGAGCCGAACAGACCGCTACCTCTCCTCCAACCCTGCTCCCACACCACCCAAACCCCAGACCTACATCCCACCCGAGCTCACATCCACCTCCGAACAACGCGGCGAAGACGCCCGCCGAGCCGCCGCTCAAACAAAGACAAAAGCCGCCGGCTGGGCCAGCAAGTCCCTCCTCGAGCGCGAGATGGAGCGTGAACGTGAGCGCCAGAAGGAGTGGGAGGAGTCGCAGCGGGCGCTGCAAGAAGCTGCCAAGGACCCTAATGCGGGGACTGGTGGAGGTCAGAGTTGGGATGTCAATCAGTATGGATACATGGGCGGTGACAATCAGAATAAGTTGGGGGGCATTGGGGCGGGGAAGAGGCAGATTATTGGGCCTAGGCCTTTTGGACCTAGGTAGATGGGAGGATGGAAGAGGGAAGGGGGGATTTCGTTCGTTTGGGCTTGGTAGATGTTGCATGTTAACGCTGCTTGCGGCGGGATATGTACGTTTTCTAATACATTAATTTTAGACTTTCTGTATATTCTTGGACCGGATGAGCCTGTCTATTTACCCAGTCTTACTAACAACGAAAGCAACAAAGAGCCCGCAGGCAGTTACCATGTACGCGCTCACGCTGAAGGCACCCTGGATATCATGTTTCAACACCCACCAGCACACTGCGAATATCAGACTCCCTAAAAGGAAAAGGAAACAGATGATACTGGTGAAGACGTAGAAATCCCAGCCTTCTTGGAAGTACAAACCCCATCCCGGAGCTGCCTGATCACCGGCCCCTGATAACTCCCCTGCGACACGCCGTGGTACCCGATTCAATACCCAGGTATAACCTTGGGGGTTACTTTCTGGACATTTGAGCTTATGGAGTAGCTTGGTCGGTCCTATAGGGGGCCAAATTTGCGGAGGGCAAGGAAGGTCGCAGCGGTACTCTGCGTTTGGAAATGGCTCGACTATGTCTTGTGGAGGTAGACAGTCGCAGTAGCTGTAATTCGTCGTGGAAAACACGGAGTCACATGACGCATTATGTTCGCGGATTTCGACGCTGCCGCCCGTCTCCAGAAGAAACTGAGTCCATGTCAGATCTTATCCGGTGCGCTCACCCGTTGTTGGTTTCTTACCTTGGTGAAATGGATCCCTACTATGGAACGACATGATACAGTACGGTAAAGACGATTATGGCGCTGGAGTACCTGAGTTTTGAGGAGCTGGAACAGCGCTCGGTCGGTCGCGATGCCACGGACGTCGATTTGCAGTAGTATTGGGTCATCGCGAGTGCGGTGTACGCAGGACATGAGATGGACTGTATCTAGTTGTTGCATCGGGATGCCCGGGTTGATAGTGTTGGTCGTATTGGCCGTACTACCGGGGTTGTATTGCACGAGACCTGGAAGGTTCGGCTTGCGCCATCGAAGTATTGAGAGCAAAGCGTGACCGATGTGACGAAACCATGTTGGCATCCTGGCAGTATACTTTTGTGCCATGATACCAGGGTGATATGGAGTGACTGTGATTTTGGCGTGTACTGAGCTCTGTCTCATCTCTCGCACCAATGCTGCCACGCCACCGGTCCTCAGCTCTTTGAAATCATCGAAAACATGATCGCCGCAGCACTACGATTCATATTAGTAAAACCAGATCATGTTGATATTCTCAAGACAAGCTTACACAATCACTCCTTATCCGAGTCCAGCCAGCCCTTAGTGGGGGTTCCAGGCATCCCAGGATGATCAGCAAATCGTCTGTCAACGGAAAGCAAACATCCGCTAGGAGAATCAACATGAATCTCGCTAGGTATATGCAATTTGGGCTCAAAAATAGACAATGCGCCATGATTTCTACCCTTTCCTGCCATGCTTTCCACCTATGCATGCTGACGGTTCTAGAAGGGTTCACACATTCTGGCCTTTCTATGGCAGGCCTGTTGGATGGCGCATTTGCGTGCTTCGTGCAGAAAGCATGTATATCCGCTTGCAACGTTGTATAAGCATCACTATCGGTTAGGAAGAGGCGGAAAGCTTGCAAATCTTCCAATCCCGTATGTTCTACTGATCGTTCTGCCGTCTCTTCTTCGGAGCTATCTTCAAGATCATTGCTTGTCAGATCGAGGGGTTCTCCAGACTCTGGTAATCTGTACGGTGCGTCTTCTCCTCTGGCGATGCATCGAGCGGTATGGTGTGCCTTTGCCTCCACGAGACGAGACGCAGCATGTTGGAGATAATCATTCGCCTCTTCTTTGAGTTGCTCTGAAAATGTTTTGATAGCTCCACGGATGTGTCTGCGCAGTCTATCGGGCCCAATCCTGGTATCGTTGCGTGCAGGCCCATACAAAGGGGCTAGTAGCTCGTCATTCTGTAGTATAGTTACGAAGAGTTGTGTAGCATTTTGTATCTGTTCAATTGAGAATCCGCTTTCTTTAGAGAGTACCGTTGCTGAAGTCTCTCTGGACGCTAAGGAGAACACTGATTCTTGTGAGGTCGATGCTACCGACATGCTGTCTTCCTGTTCGAACGCGTCTTGTGACGGGACCTCTCGCTGTGGAGTTAGCTCTTGTGAGCTCCATTCTATCGATGTTTTCGACGTGCTAACTTTCTGGTAGTTTTCTTCCCGTAGTGGGGACTCTTGCCAATAACTTTGTGAGATCGATGCCGTCAACATGCTAGGTGCCTGTTCGGGTTCGTTCTGTAGTGGATTAAGTCTTCGCGGACTTCGTTCTCGTGATGTCGATAGCACCGATTTCATATCTTCCTGGGCGGATTCGTCTTGCAGTTGGCCATTCCGCCGTGAGCTTGGTTCTTGTGTGGTTGGAGCTATCGATATGTCATCTTTCTGGTCTGGATCGTCTTGTAGTGGGATACGTCCCCGTGGACTTGGTTCTCGCCCTCGTACTCTCATTGTATCCTGAATGAACAGCTCCGACTGGTCGTAAGCGATATACGGTTGCCGAAATGTGCCAGCATCCTTGCGCGGCGAAGAAGTTCTCCTTTTGAGCAGAGGTTCTTGGGGATGCGATACTTCTCTCTCTTGTAGAGTATCTTCTTGCGTATAAGCCGTATAAACCGTATAAGATGCGGAAGGTGTGGGTGGCCCGTGGTCTCTAAAATCTCTCTGGGATATCCCAGTACTATGGGATGGCGATGATGCAGCATTGGCTACTCTTGTGAACATTGGTGAGAGTGGTTGTACCCATTCTCCATTGACGACGCCGCATTCTGGACAAACACGTCGAGGGTACGCTGATACCCAGTCGCAATCGGGACAGTGCCAGCATCTCTCTGGATTAATGTTTCCCGCCCCGCCTTTACTGAGGTCCATGGTGGCGCTGACTGATGACACGTTGAAGATTCTGACAACGAGAAAAGAAACAGTAGCAATTAGCACAGAAGAAGGCAGAGAAATATTTGACAGATGGAAAGATGGAGTACAGACATATACGCGGCTGAGAGCTTCGGTTTATGGATGTTCGAGCAGCAGGCTGACAGCATCCCGAGGTCAGATGACGAGTCAGACACAGCCCTGGAGCCTTCAGCTCAGCCTCGTTAGTTGAAGGTTCGCATGGAAAGACTATCATCGCAACGCAAACCAGTACTCTCAAGCGCTCAAAAATCGAGGAAAGCGTCGGATCCGACAGGTTGTGTGAGGCACGGGGAGCGTTCTAAGGTTCCACTGGCGCAAATACCTGCGGCCGCATATGCCTAGAAGATGCATGAATGCGGCGGAAACTTGTATCGTATACAGAAATCACCACCTAGGATAAAACGGTGTTCCCGTTTGTTCATCCGCGACGGCGATGGTCGTCAAGTCGCAAGACTGTGCCAGTCGACATGTCTGAGCGAGGGGATAACCGCGTATAGTAATCAGCTAGCCGTATACGTTCTACCTCGGCTCGATCATCACAAGCTCCAACCGAACGACTCGCCCGCCTAGGTCGTCGGAGCCGACAACATCTCACTCATCATCTTACGGACGTATCGGCACTTTCCTCAACATCAATCTCAGAAATTGCGAGTAAGAACTCATTACCAGCTTCGTAAGAGAAGAGAAAGAGCAAGGAAAAACAACATCAGAAGAGACCACGCGATCACGAAGCAACGATGGCGGAAGCATACCAGAAAGAGTTCTTCAACGTCTCATTCCCAGCGGAATGTGTTGCGCATGTCGAAATCAACAGACCGGAGAAGCTCAATGCTTTCAAAGAGGTGTAAGTGCAGAACGCTTTCTCTGTTTTCCGAAGGCCGGGACATAGAGCTTCGGAATCTACGCGTATCACGTGTCGCAATGAAAGAGAAGGGCACTCATTGGTATCGCAATACTACTGGGAAGATATATGTTTATGATGTTCATCGATGCTATCCAAATCGATTTCAGCCTCTACTACACGCGACGCGAATATCTCACAACCCCAGCTCAACAACCCCCAAACTAACAACCCCCCAGTATGTGGCTAAATCTCTCCACCATCTTCCGCCAACTCTCCCACGACCCCTCCGTCCGCGCCGTCCTCCTAACCGGCGCCGGCGACCGTGCCTTCACCGCCGGCCTCGACGTACAAGCAGCCTCAGAAAACGGCGCCTTGTCATCTTCACCCGACACTTTGGACTCCGCGCGCAAAGCCAACGCCCTGCGCCGCCACATCCTAGAATTCCAGTCCTGCATCACCGACATCGAGAAATGCGAGAAGCCCGTCATCTGCGTGCTGCACGGCGTGTCGTTCGGTCTAGCGCTGGATATGTCACTAGCGTGTGATATCCGTGTGAGTACGACGACGACGAGGTTTAGTGTGAAGGAGGTGGATATAGGGCTTGCGGCTGATATTGGTACTTTGTCTCGTCTTCCTCACTCTGTTGGAAACTTGTCCTGGGTTAAGGATATTGCCTTATCAGCACGTATCTTTGGGTCGGATGAGGCGTTGCAGCATGGGCTTGTGTCGAAGGTGTACAAGGATAAGCAGGAGGCGGTTGCTGAGGCGACCAAGTTGGCGACGCTGATCGCGTCCAAGTCGCCGGTGGCGGTGCTGGGGACGAAGGAGATTATCAATTACTCCAGGGATAGGCCGATCAGTGAGGGACTGAACTACACTGCGGTGTGGAATGCGGCTATGTTGCAGACGGCGGATGTCAAGGATGCTATGATGAGTGGGCTGAAGAAGACGAGCCCCAAGTTCAGCAAGCTGTAGAAAGGCAATCGCATGTGTTTTGGAAAGATCCTGGGATGCGATTATCATATGAAAGACTTTTATCCCATACCGTATCCGAGAAGCGAGACATACACTTCATCCATCGCGAGGGACGCTTCCGTGAGTAACCCGAGCCTCCATAGCCGACATACGAAAACATAGACCACCACGCATGGCAAGCAACCACTTTTGGACTTGAGAATTTTCATTGACTCTAAGCGCCTGGACGTGGTAATGCCGGAAGAGTCCCAAACCCATCCCGCATGAGCATCAATCATAACCCATGGCATGCTACAGAAGATGTGGAATCGTGATTTTCCCGTTACGCCCCGTTGCACTACCCAACATGCACTACCTTATCCCCTCGCCATGACACCCCAGCAGCGGATACGGTTGTCGGTGTATCCGGCGAACAGGGTCTGGCCGTCGGCGCTCCAGGCCAAGGAGACACACTCGGGCTCCCGGCTCTTCTTGCCAACCTCCATGTACTCAGGCTTGAGCTCGTCAACCTTGGACTTCTTCTCAAGGTCGAAGATGATGATGCTGGAGGCGGTGGCAGCGCACAGCCAGTAGCGGTTGGGGGAGAAGACAAGGGCGTGGATCTCGTCACCGGCGGAGAGAGAGTAGAGGTGCTTGGACTCGTTCAGGTCCCACAGCATGGTGGTTCCGTCCTTACCACCGGAGGCGCAGAGGGAGCCATCGGGCGAGATGGTGACGGTGTTGATGTAACCGGTGTGACCGATGTGGTCGGTCTGGATGCGGCAGGAAGCGAGTTCCCAGACCTGGATATTGTCAGCTTCCCGAATTGGAAGTTGGTTGATCAGATCGAGTGAAGGAGCGTAAATCAGTACTAGGTGATAATTGTCTCATAGCCGAAGCTCTGAAGTAGCAAATACATAGATATTCATCATATAAACAAGGAAACGGAGGAGCTGGTGTAAACGCGGATGTACGCACCTTGACGAGCTTGTCCCAACCAGCAGAGACGATGACGGGGTTCTGGGGGTTGGGGGAGAAGCGGACGCACGAGACCCACTCGGTGTGGCCCTTGTCGGTGATGGTGTACTTGCAGTCACCGAGGGTGTTCCAGAGCTTGATGGTTCGGTCGCGCGATCCGGAGACGATCTGGCGGTTGTCGGCGGAGAAGGAGACGGAGAGAACGTCGTTGGTGTGGCCGACGAAGCGGCGGGTGGTGACACCGGTGGAGAGCTCCCAGAGGCGGAGGGTCTTGTCCCACGATGAGGAAAGAGCGTAGGCGCCGTCAGAGGAGATGACCTGTGCAGCAATTGTCAGCTCAGCCGTCGTCGCTTCCTAGCTAGCCAATTGCCCAATTTTGTGGTGAACGTACACAGTCGGAGACAATGTGGGAGTGACCGTGCAGACTCCTCTTGGGGTAACCGTACGAGGTCTCGTCGCGGGTCAGGTTCCAGATGATCAGAGTCTTGTCGCGCGATCCGGACAGGAGCATGTTGGGGCTAATCGCGTGTCAGTATTGCGCATTCGTGTATTTTCCCTCTTCCCGCGTATACGCACTTCTCCAGGGAGGTCGCCAGGGAGGTGACCCAGCCGGAGTGGCCCTCGAGGGTGCCACGGAGTACGAGTTGCTCGGCCATGATTGCGATGAGTGGCTTCTGCTTGGGATGGACGTAGGCGCACTCGGGTGTTAATAGTTGTTCGTCGAAGAGCACTGCGCACAAAGGCTGGAGGCTTCAAAATTCCAAGGTTGATAGGCGAACCACTAGCGTCGTTCGGGATTAGCGTGGTCCGTCAGCACAGGAGCCCTTACTCGACATTTGACCTCACTTGGACATGACATCGTCAGGCCACTAACAAAGTACCTGTAGTGAGTGGTATAGTGCTAATGAATAGTAGTTCGCCGCATGATGCCAGTCCACGCGATCTTGCGTCCTTAGCAACTCACTTTAAAGTCAGGTATGGAGGGGTCAACTTGCTTGCGCGTATCTCACCTGCGCATTATGGGCCATGTAATTGCATGCATTACATACGCATTCACGTTGTATTGTGTACTGGAGGACGACACCAGTGCATGGTCAAGGCTAAGCAAAACATCTCTACTTGTTCCTTCCTTCCTTCACAACTTCCATCCAAAGCCGACTAACTCCGGTATCCCAAGTCTTATCTCCGCGCTACTTCCCCACCATAGAAACATGCACAAACGCATAAAACAGCATACCTCGCATGTGATAGATGATGACCTGATCTTGTTCTTGATCTAATATGATGAATTACACCCACGTACATATAAGAAGAAGGCTCTACCTGACGTGGAATCCTACGCTTGCTTCCAACAAGATAACATCCATCTCATACGACTCGCATACCACACAATCACACATCCATCCGAAATGACCTACCCCCAAACCACCATCCTCCTCCTCGGCGCCGGCGAACTAGGCTCAGCCTTCCTCCCTCACCTCTCCGCCCTCCCCAACGCCCACATCACAATCGGCATCCGCTCCCCATCCAAATACACACACCTCCAATCCCCCAACATCTCCCTCACAGCCATCGATCTCACCTCACCCTCACTCTCCCTCGCCAAAACCTTCTCCACATACGACATCCTCATCTCCGCGACAGGCTTCGGCGCCGACCCCAGCAGCGTCCTCAAACTCGCCGAGGAAGCCCTGTTGGCCGGCAAGATCAGAAAAGAGCAAGGGAAAGGGAAATTATGGTTCTTTCCCTGGCAGTGGGGTGTTGATTACGACGTCATTGGTGATGGGGAAGGGATGATGCCTTTGTTTGGTGCGCAGCGCGATGTGAGGAATTTGTTGCGGCGGAAAGCTGAGCAGAGTAATGTCAAGTGGACGGTTGTCAGTACGGGAATCTTCATGTCTTTTCTTTTCCAGCAGTTTTGGGGGATCGTGGATAGGAGTAAAGAGGAGGAAGGGAAAGTGGTGGTGAGGTGTTTGAAAGACTGGATTCACAAGGTTACTGTGACGGATGTGAATGATATTGGACGGGTGTTGGCGAGGGTCATTGCAGGGGATGTTGAGGCTGAGGACCGTGTTTTGTATATTGCGGGTGATACTGTAAGTTATGGGCAGCTGGCTGACATCGTCAAGCGGGTGGGCGGGAAGCAGGTTCAGCAAGAGGCGTGGAGTATTGAGCACTTGAAGGAGGAGCTCGACTCGGCGCCAGAAGATGGCATCAAGAAGTACAGGCTGGTATTCGCCAGGGATGGCGTGTGGTGGGAGATGAGTAGGACGGTGAATAAGGCGTTGGGCATGAACATGATGGATGTTGAGACGTTTACTAGAAGTTTGTTCAGTAGATAGAAGGTGGTTGGTAACTGAAAGTAATGAGCGTGTTGAGAGTTTCGAAATAGATTTCGTGATCCGCATTACGTGTAATTACTGATGAACTCTTTGACAAGTAATACTACATGAGCGTGAGCCGAAAGCATCCCGACAGCCTGGGAGTGGAACGTACTTGTTCCTATGTGCCTTCACAGCCGTCTCACTGATCTCGCTTCCCCTAGCGTATGGTCCCAGCCTGCGCTATACCCTCTTGATCCGTGTCGGGACTATAGCATTTGCGCCTGTAGCTGCTCCACCTCCTTCTCGTCCGCCACCCCTCATGGAAACTCCGGGTATATCTTCATCATTCTGCCTCTTCCTCTTCATTCCCGCCTCAAGGGCCTCAGCTGCGTAGTTGTCGTGACCAAAGGCAGGTATCATCTCTCTGTGTTCACCAGGTCGCTCCTAACGTCCCGGTGGTCCAGGAGGATATCTGCCAGGAGGTCCGCCAGGTGGCATTCCCATACCACCTGGGGGTGGGTAAGGCATTCCTCCAGGGGGTGAGCCTGCTTGTCCTGGTGGTGGAAATGGGAAAGGTGGCATTCCTTGGGGTGGGCCGCCTCCCATGTGTGGTGGTGGGAAGGGTGGCATACCACCAGGGCCCAGGGGCATACCGTTTGGCGGAGGGAAGGGTGGCATTCCGTTGGGCGGCATTGGAGCTGTCGCACTGTCAGTAAGGAATGATGTGTGGTGACTATGAGGCAACTTACGACCTCCGCGGCCCATGAAATTTGGAGGCATTCCACCCATAGGCGGCATTCCTGGAGGCGGGAACCCAGGCATACCCATCGGTGGCATTCCCATTGGGGGCATTCCGCCCATAGGTCCTCCAGGGAAGCCACCAGCCAGATTCTGTTGGAACAGCGGGTTGGCTTGGCCTTCTGTGTTGTATGCGTCGGTAATACTATTGATGACTTGCTGTGTCTGGTCGCTCGATATCTGCTCGTAGTAGGCCTGGACGTTGCGGAGGTGGTTGCGGCCGTTGTTGTGCGCTTTCCGCACGCTCATACTGTCGTGGGTGAGGTAGACATCGCAGTAGTCGCAGAAGAACTTGGGCATTGTGTATTAAGTGCTCGTCTGGGCGCAGAAATGGGATATTGGGATTGAGGGAGTTGGTAGCGAAGTTGCGCGTGGAGTACGGAGCGCGTCGCAAGAGCTAGAACTGGAAGAATCCCGTCGGCGGTACTTGCGCCGATGGTCTTGGCAAGCCTCATCGCCCTTTCACGTGTTCCGTCCTGAGTCCGCACCTCCAACATCACGCATCGCTACCCACGCCATCTCGCATCGATGCAAACTAATCACAATCCAAATTGGGCTCTTTCAATCAGGATATGCGCATAGGAGAAATCGACTTTCGCATGCATAGGCTGCAAACGTCCTTTTGAATCCATCCGCGGCTCCCTATGTAGGGGACGCATCCAACATGCTCTCGTCGAACCTTCTAACGTCATCCTGTCATTGAGGATCATGAGCCGAAACCTCAATCTCCACTCTCATAGCATCCTCGCCTAGTTTGACAACGCCAACACACGTCCAGATAGGCTGATGATCAGGCATCCATTTCTTGAAATTCCGCACCATAGCCCCCAAGGCCTCATTGTCCATAGGGATGTGGTAAGAGTTTACGCGGAATACCTGCGACCAACCCTTCCCACCAGCGGTCTTCAGAGCAAGTTCCACATTCTGGAAAGCTTGGTCGATCTGAGCATCGATGTCTGCGGGTATGAGTCTGGTCATCGGATCCCATCCACCTACGATCGCAGTCATCAGTATGTGGAGCTCAAGGAAGTCATGGGTATGAATTACCTTGGCCTGCACACTCAATGCGGTCGCCGATCCGTACTGACTGGCTGTAGCTGGTGTTCTCTCTGGCCGACTCGCCCTTGCCGGGGTATGCGTAATACTGGAGATGCGACATGTTCTTGCGGCTATGGGTGTATAGATTCAATCTTTGGAGATTTCGCACGTATCATGACATTGTGGTACGACAGCATTTATAGGTACCGACATTGGCATATGACGCATATACTAATCATATACAGTCCGGCTGACCAAGCTCGCAGGGAGCTATCGTTAGCTGCTTGGGTGGGCTCACGGCTCCTTCTCCGCTGTTCCGCTATATCACCGCGTCCGCTGCGCCATCGACAACACCACTCCGCCATGCATCATACGACGATTTGCAATATGAGAACTGGGCTTGACATACGTTGATCGATTCAACTGAGTCGATAAGTTGCGCAACGATGGAGCCCCGGGCTGCTGGTACGACAACTAGATAGACGTCTTTCACGACATCTCAACTCGCTCCACGAACTACGAGGTGGAAACCAACAACATCAACCACTTTCCCGACACATGGTGTCATACGCACGATGCGTCGCGCATCTCACATGGCGACTAGACGTTGTCGTAAGCCTTTCCACACACCCGCTGCGAGCTGTCAGTACCGCACGTTGGAGAAGACAGAATATGGCATACCAGACGTCGCTCCGAGAAGTCTCTGCGAAGCTCCAACCACACGTCTCGGTCTGTACAATCCGACTCGCCTTCTGATAACGATCTGCATGACGGTTGTTGTCTAGCGACCTGGTCCTCTGTCGCGTTCAACCACGGTTTTGGCAGCGGCCAGTCTGAAAAGTGGACGAACTTGGCTTCTTTCACCGCATCCCGTCCGTTCCATCTTTCTGTCGGCGAGCCGAGGTAGGCCTCATGCTGATCAATCTGGTGGCGAAATTCACCAGTCAAAAGATCGTATCTACGATGCGGTATCACTGAAGTCGAGGCACCGAACACCTTGTTCAAGATATCCATATCGTAGTCGTGGCCCTCGTGGTGTTCCATTGCGCTTTGCACCCGCTGCCAGCTATCCTCCGATGGCTCGATAACTATGAGTTGGGACGATAGGAAGAATTGTTCAAGCCAGTATGCGCGAGGCATGGCCACTGGAGCCGTGGGAAGGAGGAAAAGCTCGTCCATATGCTACTGATTGTCAACACTGGTCATTGTAGCAAGCGACAGCTTCGCTTGTCGACGGAGATAGGCACGTACATTCAAAAGCGTCGCGTCCGAGTCTAAAGAAATCACGCGCTTGTACTGAGTCTGATTCCATGCTAACAGTTTTGTGTAGCTGTCTTGCCACGTCGCATCCTTCTCATTGACATACGTCCTTACTTGGATGGGGTTCAGCTTTGCGTGATACTGGTCCCGAGCTTGAGCCAGCAGCGTGCCTTCATAGTCGGTTGGAGGTGCGTCGTCATCGAGTATGACTTTGGGCACCTTCCACTTCTGTGGATACAACATGAGAAGATCGGCTCTCGTCCCATGTCGTCTGAGCGCCTCAAAGATCATGAGAGAGTTGCAGAGGTAGTTCGAGTTTGTTACATATTGTACGTATGCAAAATCTGACCAGATAATGCTAGCGTCTGTGACTGGAATTGGGGCTGGCGATGAGTCTATTGCGAAAGGAGGGTTGTGCTTGGTGAACTGTCGGAATTGGTTTGGAAGTCGAGCAACATGCTCATCATACCTTACTAAGACACCCGCGAGCAGCAGAAAGGCTGCAACCATGAAAAGAACACGCAGCTTGCGTGCCGAAAGTGCATATTGAAAACGTACGGAGAGCGGTATATGCGACCCTCGACCATGGCATGAAAAGGAGGGCAGAGCAGAAGAGTTCGACGACATGTCTAATGTACAGACGATCCTTGAGCGTTGAGAAGTAAACACAAGAATTGAGAGTGCGTGGCATGGAGCGTCGCTGGATGCTTGCAAATGTAGGTCGTGGCAACTTCTCCGTCCCTCGAGAAGACACTGCGGGCGAGATTGCTTGCAGCAAGGCACACCCCAAGACGAAGGCTGACTACATGCTGTCGGGAAATGACCGCATGACGACAACAAAAAGGTTACATTGTCGGCGGAGTACATCCTGTGCGATGCACAATGCTATTGTTAAAGTACTTCAGGACCGATGTATGCACCGAGAACAGCATCTTCGACCAATCGTGCAAACTTCGGGCCCCGCCCGTGACTTCATTCGAAACGCCATGTAGGTTGTTATCCGTTCCAACCTACATGGATCGGAAGGCTCGTGTCACTGACGGGTGGGGTCACTTCTACACACCGGCTCGCATTGACTATGTATAGCAGGCCATGACTGGTCGTAAGATATCCTGTTACGACTTATCACACTGTTCATCATACCATAGTCACACGCTGTTCGATGTCTTCACGATCTTTCCTCCAAATAGGCGTCAATTTCCTGGTCTTCTTCATAGTTCGCTCGACTGCGCAGAGCCACCTCGATGTGCCATGGAGTGACAAGAAGTATGGACCCGATGGGCCATGGCAAGCTGTGCGAATTACGGTCGGAGGCAACGACACCAATCTGAAAATAGGAGGTCAGAACCACGCTGACGTCGACGTCTATCCGGGAGGATCGTTCGAGAGTTTCATCTTCAGCCGATCGGCTTGCGATCCTTTCCCTGATAGTACCTGTGGTGAGGGAGGCACATGGGAGCCAGATGCTGGTGCAACAAGTTTCCTCCCACTGGGTGGGTGGCACCCTACTGTCAAGATTCCATCTTTCGGTCTAATTGCGGGCCCCGCGAACTACACTGATCGAGCCTTGACGATCCGCGGCACGACAGTATGGAACGCCTCAATCATGCATACGAATTCGGGAAACATCACGGCTTTTGATGGCAAGGTGTCAGGGATGAGGCTCGGCTACTTGGGTCTTGGGGGCGGAGAGCAAGTGCAGACCTTCTCGGAGAGCGACACTGTTGCGGGGTACGACGTATCACTCAACGTTTATAACGGCAAGCTATACAAGGATGGCATCATCGGTTCATATTCGTACCTGCTACATATCGGATCGGCTGCATTTGACTACCCTGGCTCGCTGGTCTTCGGTGGCTACAACAAAGGTCGCGTTATAGGTCCTCCAACGTCCTTTCGAGACCAGGATAAAGTCGACCTTCTTGACATTGGAATCGGGGTTGAGTTTGGCGAATCACCCTTCGAAGTGGACAGCATCAGTAATCTGCTCGTCGCCGACACTGGCGAGACAGGCAAGGCCCAACAAGTCATCATCGACCCTCGTAATCCGTACCTCTCACTGCCGGACAACACATGCGAAGGCCTTGCCAAAGTACTTCCGATCAAGTACGATCCAACCACGAAATACTTTCTCTGGAAGACCGACGACCCAAACTACACCAAGATCGTCACTTCTCCCGCATACCTCAGTTTTACCTTCCCCCCTGGCTCTGGAGCTAGCCTCAACGTCACGATCAAAGTCCCTTTCGCATTACTCAACCTCACGCTTGACACACCTATCGTCGAAAAGCCGACACCCTACTTTCCCTGCCACTCTTACACGCCTACAAACGAGGATGATCGCTATAGACTAGGCCGTGCGTTCCTCCAAGCAGCGTACGTTGGTCGCAACTGGGCTTCGCAGATCACATGGCTGGGTCAAGCCCCAGGACCAGGCTTCAATGGTCAGGGCCTAGGAGATCAGCTCACGGACATTGCCGACGGAGCAACGACTCTAGACTACTGGGACAGCGAAAAGACGAACTACTTCAACCAGAGCTGGGCGGGACACTGGAGTGTCGTTGAAAGTGTGAAGCCGAATTCACCTAATGACACCAATGTGAGCACATCAGGGAGTAAGCCACGATCTGAGCAAGGGCTGTCAACGGCTGCCAAAGCAGGTATCGGGATCGGCGCTGCACTTGGCGGTATAGCTATCCTCGCTATTGTCCTCTTCCTATGTTTCCGACGCAAACACAACCGTAAAATCGTTCCGGATGATGGTCTTCCCACGCCGCAACAACACGCGTATGGCTCGCCGATGTCACCAATGTCGGCGCTGTCACCAATGTCGGCGCTATCACCAATGCCAGCTCCATATGGTCAGCCAGAGAAAAAGAACAATGAGTTCTATTCGGGTACTCAGGAGATGTACACGGCTCCGGTAGCTCAGGAGTTGCCTGATTCGAACGACGTGCGACACAATTGATTGGTGCAAGATCTACGTTGGTGTTCGGCTCAGTACGGTTGGAAGGTGTATCGTCTTGCGAAACAGTGTACAAGTAGGTGTGGCGTCGAGGTTTCTCCTTTTTTTGTGTGTTGACGATTTCATGATGGGGTGCTGTGTTTTTGAGTTCAAGGCGTTGGCAACATCATTCGTAGCGTTCAAATTCACAACGTGGGCTCTTGATGAACTTGACCTCACGCACGATGACGCGATCGATATTGAGTAGCAGGGGATTGAACTCGGTGTCATGCGGGGTACTGCTTTGGGATCGATTTTGTGATTGTCAGTATGCAATGATTACAACTCATGCCTTCCATCACCACTGGCAAACACGCGCGCGTGCTTCTGCACAAGATTCTGAGTAATTGAGGAGATGTAGACCTCACCCTCTTTTTCAACAGAACTACTGAATAGTAACGAAAGGTTTTACCTGGCATGTCCGCGCTGAGCGGTTGGGTGTAAACCTTGTGCGATGTGCCTGTCTGCAGGCTAGTACGGGAAGGGACTCAAGCAGCGAGAGATGCCTGCCGTGCGATAATGCACGACAAAACATGCTTACGCCCAGCAATGCAATGGGCAAGACATATATGATGCGTCGCGAGACGAGATCCGCATCGTACAGTATTCCTCCTCCTTCAGTGTATTCCGTCGTAGAATGGCGGGTAGCGTTGACGATGGCGGGGCCAGCCCCACGCTGAGCAATTACAACAGCCTCATCGCGATTGGCGTACCAACCGCACTACTACTTACATACCTAACCCGCGTCGCACTGCAATGGTACCGTCTATCGCACATCCCCGGACCCTTTTGGGCATCAATCTCTACCTACTGGATCATATCGAAATCGCTCAGAGGACAATTGCCTTTCGCGACGAAAGAACTAACCGACAAATATGGCCCGCTGGTACGCGTCAGTCCAACCGATCTGGTCACCAGCGATCCAGATATCGTGCGCAGAACAACGGCAGTGCGGTCTGAATACACACGGGGGCCATGGTACGATGCGATGAAGCTGGAGCCTGGACGCGACAATCTCTTTTCGATGCGCGACGAGGCGGCGCATTTGAAGTTGAGGAATAAGATGGCTCCTGGCTACTCTGGGAAGGAGAATGAGTCTATGGAAGGCACTGTTGATGAACAGGTAGCCGCTTTCATCGATTTAATCGAGACGAAGTATATCTCGACCGCGACTGAATACCGGCCTATGGATTTAGCGCTCAAAACGCAGTACTTCACCCTAGACGTCATCAGCGCACTGGCATTCGGGAAGCCGATGGGGTATCTGAAGCAAGACGTTGATCTACACGATTACATCAAGATCACGACGACATACGTCCCCGTCATGATGGCGCTTTCGTACGTACCTTGGCTGGCGAATCTGTTACACTCGCGCCTGTTGAGAGGTGTGCTTCCCAAAGAGAGCGACAAGCTCGGCTTCGGGGCCTTCATCAACGTGGCAAGGAAAGCGGTTGCGGAAAGATTTGCATCCGAGGAGTCCAAGCCAAAGTCCGACATGCTCGGATCTTTTATTCGTCATGGTCTCACGCCGGAAGAAGCATCGAGCGAGGCGCTCCTGCAGATTATCGCTGGTAGCGATACTTCGGCGTCTACAATTCGCGCTGTGATGCTGCATACGCTGGCCAATGCGTCTTCTTATAGAAGACTGCAAGCGGAGATCGACGACGGTATCGCTGCTGGGACGATTTCTTCGCCTATTACGGATGCTGAGGCGCGACAGCTACCGTACCTTCAGGCTACTATCAAAGAGGGCCTGCGCATTCTGCCTCCAGCCAGTGGGTCGAACTTCAAAGCCGTTCCTGCAGGCGGTGATATCCTTGCCGGCAAATTCATTCCTGCAGGCACGCAAATTGGGTCTTCCTATCTCAGCATCCAGCACTCTACAGATATCTTCGGTCCAGATGCTGAGCTCTTCAGGCCAGAACGCTGGCTGGATGCTTCGGAAGATCCTGCACGTCTTGCGCACATGGCCAGTACCGTGGACCTAGTCTTTCACTACGGAAAATACAAGTGCTTGGGCCAGAACGTCGCGTTGATGGAATTCAACAAAGTTTTTGTCGAGCTACTGAGGCGCTTCGATTTCTCGATCGTACATCCGCACGAAGCGGCGAAGATATACAATGCCGGGATGTGGATTATGGAGGACTTTTCGGTCAGGGTCACACGGCGTGCAGTCTGATTAAGACATGACCAGGGCTGAGTGAGATGCGCTTCCCATTGCCGTAGTGCTGATGCACTTGTTAGGTCTTACGGCGGGTTGCGGCAGATGTCGACATAGCGGAAGGGAGGGACCCGACATGTCACCGAAAGTATCGGAAGCAAGGTTCATGTCATCAATCTCGGCCTCCGGGTAAACCATGTCTTGTATTGACGCACTTCAAAACCAACGTCCGAACAAATTGAACAATGTATAGGCTGTCGTGTAACTTGACATTTTAGGTGAATGCGACGAGTCTTACGACTGTAAGACGTAATGAAATCGACCACTACAGGCTCAATGCGCACCTCATAGAAGATGACGACTCCATATCGAGACAATGCATCGCATACCGAAACTGCGGAGTTCAGCGTGGCAGGAACAGGTCCATGTTGAAAAATATCGAGAAGCATGCGCCGCAGTATATGCTCGGCTTCCCAAACCCAGCATCACTGCGCCAACCAAAACTGCTGATCGCAGCGTGGCAACGGAAAAAAAGAAGCCCTGTACGAAGAAGCATATACAGTTCTCGGCTTCTCAGACCTAGATCGCGGAGACCGCTGATCACCGCGCAGCGACAGAATCCTTCTCCCACAGGCGTCAGAGAGTACTCGGTTTCCAAAACACCATCTGGGTCGACTACGAATGCTTGCGAGGCGTAGCGCGGGTTACATTGCTGATGAGAGCACAAAAGCATCATATGCTCGATTTGCCACGTGCACGCATCGCGAGCGGTACCAGTACCGGTGTTCTCCAACCCAGCCGTGTGACTTTCCTCGTTGGGGGACGCTGCCGCTGGTAGAGACGCTGGTAGGCTCTAGCTAGTGGGTTATGTGTAACCGAACAACAGTCCCATGAGGCTGAGACACGCCCTATAGTAGCGCGAACATGCGTTCTACACACAGATTGAACGTTTTTCTTCTTCGCTCATGTGGCACATGCCCGTTGCGGCATTGCTTGGGGTTTGCACTGGTGAGTTGTATGGCGGTGAAGAAGCATAGCGGCACTCCGGGCTCGCCGTTTCGATTGCTAAAAAGAATCTTACACGGGATGGGTTTTTTTCGCACGCCTCGCAGGTACTAAGCTCAGCCTTCTTCAGCCCTCGAGCAGTAGTGTTATTGTTTTTCTCGTGTCGGCGCTGGCTAGCGCTGAGTAGCTGGCGGGGTAGACCGTATTCCTCCTTCGCCCTCACGCACTTTCCAACATCATCACCATGCTGCCTTCGTACTGTGGAATTGGACCTCGTACGACGAGGCATGGAGGCGTGCGCGATGCGAAGTGGAGCTCGCCACTCGAAATAGACGGCCGATAAGCCTGTGCGCGAGGAGATTGCGATGGGGAGTTTGCGTGATAAGGCGATAGTGGATTGTTCGGGATGCTTTGTGCGAGGTTATTCCCGCTTGTGTGTGGAGCGCCTCTATGTGAGGCGCTGGGGGTTGGGTGTTTAGCGACAGGAAGTGCATGCTGGCCGCAGATCCCCCTTTCAAATCACAGCCACTTTGTTTGCAACGGCAACGGCTGCTATCTTCCCGTCACACAATGGATTGTGGCATTCTAATCTCAGCTGAACGGGCGAAGGGCGATACTAGCAAATCCTTCTGGCAAGATGACGCTGCCGTATTCAATTGACAACTCACCCGCGCGCGATGTGACAGTCTGCATGACAGTAGGTATGGCACGCTGGCGGACGCCATGTTGACCGGAGCATTACTAGACATTGCTAGATACCGAGGGCGTTCCTGAGAGCTATATTTGGCTGCACGGCATCTGGAAGCGAAGAGAAAAACACGATGCGCCATCCAATCATGGCGGCCCTGCATTCCGGCAGCCGGCAGGTCCGCCGCGTGAACGCAGCGTGGGCAGCCCAGGAAAAGCGACAAGCTCCACAGTAGTTCGTTCACGTCAGCGCGCGCTGACAATTTCCGCGCAACTCGGGGTCGGCTCAGGCCCAGGAGCCCACGGCAAGCAGCATTATCCTCGTGTGTAGACTGTCAAGCCCGAGGTTGGCCTGACCTGGGCGCCCGGCCAGCGTTTGATGAGCCACGGCCCAAAAGCAGTATAGCCTCCCACTTATCATTTGTTCCCTCTGCTGTAGCTCGCGCACGCTTACTTACTTTCCAATACTACGTTGCAGGCCTAGGCCGAATTCACGCCCACGGTACATGCGTGCTTCGTATTTCCATGACCGATCATCAGGTGTCGCTGGTGAGACGGCTCGTCAAGCGCACTGCGAATGATCTGCAGTACGAGGCGCGCGCGCTGTGGATAGTCGGGCGGTAAGGCGGAAGATGCAGGTCCCAGGTATAAGGATGACTGGCCGTCCTGCATGTCGGGATCTTTTTGTACAGCTCGCTCAACAATCACACCAAGCAACCGCATTCGCTTTTAGGTTGTTGTCCTTCGCTTTCCTGCTACTGTCAATCGGGATCTTAGTACCTTTTTAATACTTATACCTTAATCATGCGTACCTCAATCTTGTCCGCCACCTTGGCTGTTGTAGCCAGCGTTTCTGCGCTTCCATCTCCTCAGGAACTTCCCCTGACCAAGCTCATCAAGGCCCTCCCGCTCAACATCTTCGCCGAGACACCAAAGTTCGTTCAGCCCGTTCCTCTCGCGGATGCCAAGCGGATATTCGAGGAGCACAATGCCACACAACCAGAGGAGCCTGCTGCGCAAAACCAAAACTTCCGCGTCTCTACTCTCGCTGCCGCTGCAACATGCGCCAACCCCCGCGTCCGCGTTGAGTGGGACTCCTACCCCGACAGCAGCAAGCAACAATTCGTGGATGCCATCAAGTGCTTGATGGGCCGCGCTCCCTCAGGCCAGTTCCCCGCAGCCAAGAGCCGGTATGAGGACCTCGTCGCCCTCCACCAGACCCTGACACCCAACGTGCACGGAAACTCCAAATTCTTGCTCTGGCACCGATACTACACCTGGGTCTTCGAGGACATTCTACGCTCAGAATGTGGCTTCAGCCAAACCATGCCCTGGTTCGACGAGACCAAGTACGCCGGTCGCTTTTCGGCATCATCCATCTTCTCAGCCAAGTGGTTCGGAGGCATTGCCCTCGGCGGAAACTGTGTAACCAATGGCGTAAGTACAACCCCATTGTCCGACACGCCTCCTATAACCCAGCAACTAACACTCTACAGGCATTCGCCAACCTTGCCATTAACATTGGCCCCGGTTCAGGCAACACGCCCCATTGCCTTGCCCGCAACGGCGATGCCGCCAAGACCCAATACTGCAACTCCGACTACGTGAACCAATGCAACGCCTACGGCGACTTCGCCGGTATGGCTCAATGCGCAGAGGGAGGCCCCCACGCCTGGGGCCACAACGGCATCGGCGCTGTCATGCAAGACACGTACGGTTCGCCCGCCGACCCCATCTTCTGGCTCCACCACGCTTTCGTCGACCGCAACTTCCGCATCTGGCAGAACGCCAACGGTGCTCGTGTCAACACCATCAACGGCAACGACGCATCTGGCCGGGCCCTTACCCTCGACACCAACATCAACGTCTACGGTATCCGTCCTGATGTCAAGGTCAGGGATGTCCTCGACACCACTGGAACGACACTGTGCTACAAGTACAACTACTAGAACTTGTTTGGCTTTTGTGTATAGCGTTGCTTGGGTGGCAGTGCCCGTTTACGCCTTTTCGTGTTCTTAGCGCTTCTGTAAATATTTTTATTAGAATGACATGTGTATCCATGAGAACGTCCCTTCGATTGTGAGACTATGTGCGACTGGTACGATTGGGTCGCATGCCCCCTTCATGTAATGAGAGTGGCTGAAACAGGCGATATTGTAACAGTGCTGGTGGCATGTAAGACACCGACCCCATATCCTCATCTTTGCAGGTTCCGACTGTATCTCACGTGGAGATTATCGCCAAAAGCTAGTTGTCTTGTAGTGCCTCTTACTGCAAAACACCCTAAGAATATACGCGATGTTTTATGCGCGACCCTGACGAACAATGGCGTGTTGATCTTCAGGAGAAGCCTTTTATCAAAGCTCATGAGGATAAGCTTTTCCGTGCTTGATGAATCGCTACTATGATGCAATTGAGATTGGGGGGAGTTCGCAATTGTCGATCGCAAAGTGAGCGTTGTGAGCCGTCAGCGGGCACTGCCCTCCACTGACGAGATAATTCTCAACGTCAGTGGCGAGCTCATCGTCCCTCTTGTCCAGTCGCCATCCAAGCACATCTCCGTTTTCACCAAGCGTTCCCGATACAGTCGCACGCTTCAGCGACAAGCACTCTGCTATCTCTTGCAGTACCCGCGGCCATGCGCAATGCTGAATAGACCTCAATGGCACCTTGTGCTTTTCTTCTGATGCGTCGTTTGGGCCTGTCTTCCAGGAAACGTCGCGTAGCCTGAGATCCTTCAACGTGGAGCTGTGTCTGCTGAGAAGTGACACCAATGTCTCCGGCGTGGCAGAAAGACCAGACAACGATAATTTCCGTAATTTGGGCCATGTAGTTTCAGCAGCGAAAACGTGGCGGATGCTCGCAAGTGGTGCGGTGGTCTCCACTCGCCCGTTTTCCAGGCCAACTTTGAGACTTTCGAGCTCTGGTAGGCACGCAATGAACATCTCCAGGTTTTCCATTAGTAGTTCCAACGTCCATTTAGTACTTTGGAAGCGCCAATCACCAGAGAATCCAAATATCGTGATGTCCAGACTTGTTAAACAATGCAGTTCGCCCGGCTCCCATGAGGTGAAAGCCTCAAGTTGTACTCTGTCTAACTTGAGTTTTCTCAGCGAAGGTTTGCAATATTGCTGTATAGTCCGGAAAGCCTCCACCCCTGGTAGAGCATAGAAAAAGTTGATACCTTCTCCTCTACGCAACACGGGAGGTACGGGTAAAGCGCGGGGTAGCGCATGTGCCACTTTTCTCACACCTCGGTGGGCCTGCGAAAGCTGGCCGTTGACCATGTGTATCGAACGTAAGTTCTGAAAGTTTCCAAGCGCCTC